TGTTGCTCTTCTGGACATATACTGGCTTCAGTAACTCCTCTCTGGTTTGCACACACATTTGTATAGGAGAGGCAGCAATGTGTGTTAGCATGTCCACAGGGCCCAAGGCTCCTTTTTGGGGCTTCTCATTCAAACCCTATAGCACTGTCCGTGAGCAAACTGACCAGCCCTGTAGACAATTGGTGTCTGACTTCAGGCTAGATTTCAACAAACCATTGTACCTCTCTATCATGCCTGCCCCAGTAGGGTTATATGGTACACAAAACTTACACTTTATTCCTAATTGCTGTACCCATTCTTGTAACGCATGTCCAATATGTGGGTGCCTTGATTGCTCTCAATCACCTCCGGCCTGCCATAGGCCACAAAGAGATGCTCTAGGCCCCTTTTGGTCATTTGCTGATGTGCAGGAAAATCAACCAATAGTCCAGTAGCTGTGTCCACACAAGTCTTTACATACCGATAACCTTCTGATATGGGCAGAGGCCTAATATGGTCTATCTGCCACCTGACAAGGGGTATTGGTCCCTTTACTATTGTCCCATGTTGCTGCAGGACTTGGTGTAAGTCCCTCTTCGAGTACACAAGGCACTCCTTCCGGACTCTGCTGACTTCTTCAAAGGTCAACAGCAAGCTCCATCAACAGGCTCCAGCCCACATTGTCTTTTGCCCTTCATGCAACAAATGATGATGTAGCCATTGGGCCACATCAGAGGTAAGCTTTCCTTCTAGTCAGCGCACCTGGGCCAATGTGTCTGCTTTATCATTCCTTGGGGATGCCAAAGGCAAATGGCCAGTCACATGATATACGGTAACTGTCTTAGTCTGACCAGAGGCCCGTAGGTCTTGCCACAACTCTTGCCCCCAAAGGGGCCGGTGACCAACCATCCAGTTGGCAAGATACAATGTCAGTAGCCACAGGGCCATGTCCCAATAGACAGCCCAGCTGTCAGTGCAGACAACTATGGGGGAAGGCTCCTGGGTGATCATGAGCCATACTGCCCGCAAAGTCAGCCCATCGGCTGCTCTTCCCTCTCCATCCTCCATCCATATTGTCTCATTCTTTGTATGGAAAGCCACACCCCTCCACTCCTGGGGCTGCCCATGACTGGAGCCATCTGTATACCAAGCATCTTCAGGTATAGGGGCTTTTCTCTCCTGATAAGGACTCCTGGCTACTAAAGGCTCAAAAGCAAATTCTTCCTGCTTGCCACTGGTATACGTCACTGGCCCCAGTAAGTGTTGGAGTTCTTCACTTAGGGCTAATAGAGAGGGTGCTATGCTGCTGTAAATACGTGCCCCATTTGGCCATTGTAGGCATCTGTGCCTCACCACTCAGTAGCCTTTGGGTCCAGTCTCGCATCCACCCGGTGATGGGATAGGTAGCTATTACCTTGGTCAGAGCTATTCCGGTGACGGGCTCCATAGGCAACAAGGTGTGGTACACAGCAGCCATTTGCTTCTCTATCAAGGTGTACCGGCCCTCTGCTCCTTTCCATTGTTGTGACCAGATTCCAAGAGGATGGTGTGTCTATTCAAGCCACTGCCAAAGGCCCCATCCATAACTATCTTCAGTTACATGAACATCTAGCTCACAGGGCCTTGATAAGTCCATTACACTCAAGGCCTGTACAGCCTTGACTGCTCGCTCAGCAGCATTAAAAGCAGCTGCACATGTTTCACCCCAGTCCCACCTGATACCCTTTCATACCAACTGGTATAAGGGCTTCAGAATTATGCCAAGTGTGGTATAAACACCCTCCAGTAGCCCAGAAGACCCCCAAACCCTTGTAATACTGCCACAGTGGTAGGGAAAGCCTGAACCTTGTCTATGAGTGCTTCTGGGATAAGTTTAGTTTTACCCGACCAGGCAACCCCCAAGAACTTTACAAATAAACAAGGTCCATGAACCTTGGTGCTGTTCACAGCCCATTCTTTCTCCTATAGATGTTGTTGCAGTAGTCTAGGAACTGCCCCTTCTAAATCTGTAAGAGAATCAGACATGAGCATGATATCATCAATGTAGTGATACAGCCACACTATTTGTGGTTTCTTCCATGTGGCCAAGTCCTGGTCTACAAGTCCATGATAAATGGTGGGACTGTGGAGTTATCCCTGTGGAAGGACAGTGAATGTCCACTGCTGGGCTTTCCGTGTGAAAGCAAACTGTTCTTGGCTCTTCTGTGCTATGTCAATAGAGAAGAAATCATTAGCAAGGTCCACAACATAATGACACATCCCTAGTTCATGACTGAGGATGTACATAAGGACTGCTATAGAGCAGCATGCAACGAGGGTGTGACTTTATTCAGTTCCCTGTAATCCACGGTCATATGCCAGGAGTGGTCTGGCTTTTTCACAGGGAAATTAAAAGGATTATGAGTGGGCTTTATGATGCCCAACTTCTCCCACTCCTGTAGAGTTTCTCCAATTTCCTTGTGCACCCCCCAAGGCAATTTATACTGTTTAGTATTTGTCACCCTCTGAGGTACAGTAAGAGCTACAGATGGTGCTTAGCATGTCCACTCAGAACTACCTTTACCATATGTACCCTCAGTTTGAACTCACCTGCAGTAGTCTATAACCACAGGCACTGTAGGATATCTATCCCCCAAATACATTCAGCATAGCACTCAGTACTTGATTGATTGCTGCTTTCTCTCAGAAATGTTGCAGGAGTCCATTTTATTTGATAGACATTGTTTTTCCTGTCTGCAGCGTGTTAAAGAGACAGTGATCGTTTATCTTTGTTATGGGGAGGCAGCATAGTGTGGCAGAATAAGCATGGGCTGTAAGTCACTAAAAAAGCTAACATTATCTATTATTTGCTATGTTAAGTATTTGGCTTTAATCTTTTGAAAGAAAAATGTTAAGTAAAAAAACAAAACCATTGTGTTATGTTTGGGTTTTCAGAAAATAAGAATCAATTTCTAAAATGATTTTTCTTTCCATAGGACTAAGAGCTTCTATAGATTTTGAATATAACACTCCTATAAGAAAAGCTTAAATGGAGAATATGCAGTGATTCTGTACCATCTTTCTATGTCGGCAGATAGTAACTGCATTAGTTGGGGTGAGGATTTAATTATGTGGGTAACTGGTGAACCACTGTGTTGTATACATGGAACTAATATAAGATTGTGCATCAACTATACTTCAATTTAAAAAAAAAAGAAAAAAAAGGAAAGCTTAGTAAGTCTGCTAGGGTGTTTTTTTTGATATCATTAATCTACAATTACATGAGCAACATTATGTTTACCAGACTCCCCCCATCATCAAGTCCCCCCATATATCCCATTACAGTCACTGTCCATTAGCGTAGTAAGATGCTATAGAATCACTACTTGTCTTCTCTGTGTTGTACTGCCCTCCCCGTGCCCCCACATACATTATGTCTGCTAATAATAATGCCCCCTTTTTTCTCCTTATCCCTCCATTCCCACCTGTCATCCCCAGTCCCTTTCCCTTTGGTAACTGTTAGTCCATTCTTGGGTTCTGTGAGTCTGCCGCTGTTTTGTTCTTTCAGTTTTTTTCTTTGTTCTTAAAAGTCTGCTAGGATTTTTATATCAGCTAAAAGTTGAAAAATCATGACTGATTTTTCACAGTAACCACTGTTTTATGCCTTTTACAATTATATGGGAAGTATTTCAAAATAATTTAAATCAATTGAAAAACAAAGGTTGTCCAACTTGTGTAACTCAGATAAGTGAATTATGAATTTATTAGTATAAAGTAATTTTTGTTTCTGGGTTTCAGGAGCTTAAGAACAGTAAGTTTGGCCAGAGCAAAATGTATTTGTCTTGAGACATCTTTAGAATTCACTAACTAGTGAATGCCGTTGATGAAAAAACTGATTTTCATTCACAAAAGGAAAACTCATATCTCTAGCCCACTTTTTTCTTGAGTAAGAGGAGTGTGTGTGTGTGTGTGTGTGTGTGTGTGTGTGTGTGTGTGTGAGTATGTGCAATAACCCTTTAACTTAAATACTATTATCCCCATTTTAAAGGTGTTCAAGCTGAGGTTCCATGAGATTAAATGACTTGCCTACTCTTGTGCTGCTATGAGGGCTGACCGAGGATACAAATCCAATTCTGTTTCCAATGCCCACATTATATTTTAAAAAACATTTTATTTTGAAAAGTTAAAAACCTACAGAAAAGTTTCAGGAATGGTATAATAAACATCATATACCTTTCCTTGAAATTCAGTGGCTGTTACCATTTACAAAGCCCACATTCTTAATCACTCTACCATTTATTAGGCATATTGTAATCTTAGGATATCACACAACCTCTGTGTTTATTGTTTCATCTCTAAGCAGATAAAAATACCTATATTGAGGGTTTTAAAAATGGAGATTAAGTGAATAATGTGTTTATTCTTTCAGAAAATGTTTATTGAGCTCCTACCATTATTTTAAGCCAGGACAAAGCAAGACAGCATAGTCTATGCCCTCATAGAATCAGAGGTTTGGGGAGACTGACAGTAAAGGGACACACTTGGTAATTTCAGGTGGTCTAAGCATTGGGATGGAGACAGCACCAACGGACAAAGCAGCCTGAAATATTTCCTGGAAGAGGTGACCCTTGGCCTGTGATCTGATCTATGAAAGGGAGTAAACCACGCATAGATGGAAGCAGAGTGGTCCAGTTTGCCCAGAGTGGTGCTGAATATATCTATCCCACAAAAACAGGACATTGTGGAGTTTCTATCTGTGAAGACTGTTTTTAGAAAAGAGCACATGCTCTAGATAATAAAAGGATAGTCCAGGCCAGTAGGTTTTTCAGAGTCTGTTAAGGCTTTGTACATAGCTTCACAGGGTGCTGCCAAGCATGGGTTTCTGAAAAACAATCTTTATAAAAGTGCCTTGCATTCTTGGTAATTATTTCCTTTTAAGCATGTAACTATTAATATTAATAAAACATGTTCCTAACTAATGACAGTTGCTGTCCAAGGAAGTCTGATCTGTGTTTCTTGATAATCTTTTGTTTCTAATTTAGAAATTGGATGAAGACATGCATCAAAAAATTGCAAGAGAAATGAACCTCTCTGAAACTGCCTTTATCCAAAAACTGCACCCAACTGACAACTTTACACAAAGTAAATATACTTTTTTTTTTTAATAAACCATTCTTGAATGGTACCAGAAGCTGTTTTTCCATTGGGGGGATGATATTTAAGGGAAATGCCCTTTACTATTTGCATGCAGATAGGAGGTGGGGGGCAGATTCTGATGTGGTTTTCTTCCTCTGTTGGTTAATTTGAATATTTTGGCTCCAGATCTAGCACTGGGGAGCCCTAGGATGCTTGCCTAGATTTTGCTCCTCCTTTCACACACATTTTAACTATTAATCATGGTAGAGAAAGCTTCAGAAAAGAATAAGAAAATGAAATGCTTGCAACTCATGTATGGGTATGATCTCATCTCTGGCTTTTCCTCCTCTGAAGGTTCCTGCTTTGGATTAAGGTGGTTTACACCGGTGAGTGAGGTCCCTCTCTGTGGCCATGCTACCCTGGCTTCAGCAGCTGTGCTGTTTCACACAATAAGTAATGTGATTTTCTTTTATGAACCTATCACTTAGAAAAGAGCAAATATTTTTAAAATTCTCACACATTTTCTGATGAACCAAAGTGATTGGTATAAAACATTGTGGAGTTTATTTCATGAAATTCATTATGCAGAAACAGAAACAGTGAACATCAGTAACACTTTTGGCCTTTCTGAGCATGTGCCAGGCATGTTGGAAAGTCCTGGTCATGTTCCTTGAAATGCCTTTTTATTTTAAAAAGGAGCTCTTTGTTCTCGTGTCCAACTCAGGAGCTTGCAAGGCACAACAGGCATCTCACATAATGTGATATCGGGCAACCAAAAGGCACACTTTGATCCAAATATGCCCCCACCCACACCAAAATTCATTTCACAACAAAGATTTTTACTCTGAATTTAAAGATTCATGAGCCCTGACTATGTACAGGTACCTTGTGAAGAAAGGATGCAGTACCTTAACCATACAGGTCTCATCTTGGCTGCGTTTAGTATACTAAATTCAGGGCTTTGTGGGAATGGGGCAGAGGAGAGATGCCTGGAAATGCCCGAACAGTGGAGATGGAAACAGCTGTGAACAAGTGTGGATGACAGAAAGTTAAGCAAGGAAATAAATAGAATGATGTGACACAGGCTAACTGTAGGAAGTGGGGAGTTGGAAAAAGGTTCTTTGAGAAGTTGTTTATGGATAGTAGAGGAAGGTGTGACAGGGCAGTTTCCTCAGGAAGCAGACTCTGGGACATGCCGAAAGAACCGGGGGCAGGATTCTTGGGATCAGTATTGGTAAGGGAGTAAAGGAAGCAGGACTGGACGGAGGGAGAAGTTGAACTGCAAGGTGATAGGAACAAAGAAAGGCCGAAGTCAAATCCACAGGGATGTCTAAAACTACGAAGGTCCTTCAGACAGTGTAGTTCCAAATAGAAATGAAGGTTCAGGCCTTTCTACCCTCCAGTGACCAGCCTTCAATGCCCAGGAAAGTGGCATGATTTGGGGTAAAATAGCTCTCTTCAGTCAGGGGCAATTCACAGAGTGGGACTCACCGGGAGCCGCCTGTCGCCATGTGCGGTAGCTGGCTCAGGGCCTGGTGAAGGTCGAGAATCAAGGCACCTGAGAGCAGGTTCCTCCTTGAAGTCTGTGCCTCCATGCTTCCTTGCCTCACCTAGTGCTGGCTCTGAGGGGGACATGAAATCCTAGACAGTAGCATCCACTGGAGAAGGGGGCCTTCAGGCCAAAGAGCATGAAGCTGTCGGTGCACAGAGCTGAGTGGGGAGCAGCAGCACATGCAGAGCCACAGAGGCACAGTCGGTCCAGCAGAGCAGCTGGAGCTTCCAAGGGAGGGAGCAACTGGCAGGAGGAAACGCTGAGAGTTAGGCAAGGCTTGTCTACTGTAATCCATTCTGTGTTTTCAAAAGATAATTTTGCTTTCTGTGGTTGGGAGACAAAAAGGCAACCATAGAAACTCAGTCTTGAAAAATAGGTTTTACTGAAGTTGGATTGAAAGTCTTTGAAAACCCCAGGTTGCTTGGTATAAGGGTGAGAATAGCAATGACAGCCCTCAGATCCTCCACAGGGTGGTCTTAAGGTTCAATGAAATAAGATATGAAAAAACGCCTTGTAATTAATGATGTCTTACACCAATTATAATGAGAAAAATGAAACTTTGGATTTCAGAATATAAATTTTATGTTCAATGAAATTTAGTCAGTAATGCCAAATTTCTTTGTCTTTCAGATATGGTTAACTTTTACAGAAATATAGAGGGTGGTGATAGAAATAACTAGACAAAATCTTTGTTTTCACTAAAAATATTACCCATACTGAGGTCAGATAAGTGGCCCAACTTGAATCAGTAACACGAAGGGATATTATATCAGCATTTGTGGTCCAATCTGCAGATCAAAATTTTAGGTATAGTTTGGTAAATTAGGGCAAGCTTGAAACATTCACATCAGTTTGTTCTTAACTTGTAACTTGTATGTTCTATTCATCATCTCCTTGACAAATCTTAGACTAGTAGAATTTTGACTCTATAGTACTCTAGGTGGATATTTTAAAAAATCTGTGTTAGAGAACATTATAGCATCCTATGAGATAGGTTTAACTATTACCCCATTTTTCAGGTTAAGTGGAATTTGTTATAGATTTAATTATTACCCCCTTTTTCTTTTGATGATGAAATTGAGGTTTAAGGTAGTTAAATGATTTGCTCAAGGGCACAGTTAGTACAAATAAGGTTAGTAAGAGGTAAGAGCTGGAATTTGAAGCCTTGCAGAATGATGTCAAGTTCAATCAGTTATGTCCTTGTTTCTCAAGTCAGACTCCAGTGAGGGTTTTCTGTACTCTAGACCCCTGTACTCTAAACCTGGGCCCCCTGCAAGAAAGGACAACATTGCTAGAGAATCTACCACAGCACACCACCAATCAAAACAGGCATGCAAATACATGACAGTTTGTTTTTCTATTTCTTGATTCCTTTTCAAACGGTGTTCTTGTTGACAAAACAAGACTCTTTTTTTGGCCAGAAAACATGAACAGCACTCTCACCTTTGTCACTCTGAGTGGAGAACTAAAGGCCAGAAGAGCAGAGGATGGTATCATCCTGGACCTGCCTCTTTATCCAGCCCACCCCCAGGTCAGCTCTTTCTAATTATTGCCATAAACTGTATACAACTATCAGCCTGCCTGTTTTACAGTGTTTTGTTTTGTTCCTCCCCGCCCCACCCCCACCCCAATCTAGGACTTTCATGAAGTAGCGGACTTGATAAAGGTTGGTGAAAAGAATCAAACCTCAGCCTCAGCTTGTGGGATCTGGTCATTTGTTATTGTTTCAGCACAAAGATTTGGTACCATTTGATCCTAACACGTAGGCCTCTACTGTACAAATGTTCCAATCTCAGCTTGGAAGAATAGTGCACAGTGCATTTGAGGTACAAATTTTAATATTGGATCTGTCTGATGAGAAGGTTGACCAGTTACCCCTAACTCTTCATTGTGAACAGTAGTCCCCATGGAAGGGCAGAGGAGGAGAGAAACTATTATGTGACAGACTGAAAGTGAAAGAGAAGAAGGAAACTGCCTGGCAGCTGTCATGTCCCCAGTTTCCATAGTGGAGAAGGGGGCTGAGGTGAGGGGCTAAGCTTTGATGGAGGTGAGCAGGAAAGCAGGGGCACCAGAGAGAGAAGACAGCTGACATCGCCTGGCCCCCTCAAGGGCTCTGTGTGGGAGTGGGTGAGGCTTAATAATAATAACAGTAATGACATTTCTGACGGTCTCTCCTGTGCAGTACCATGTCCTAAGTGTTTCACATGCATTATTTTATTTAATCCTCACTGTACCTGTAAAGTGGGACTACAGTTGTCCCATGGAGTTCCAGAGAGCCACAGAGGCTCTGGATGACCAGATGCTTAGTTTGTAGAGAAGGAAGGGCCCAGGTCAGGATCAGGAAAAGGGCTGCCATGAGAAAAAAAATAATTCCTGTTATGGGTACCACTGGGGTGTTTCTCGGTGAATTTTCAATGACAGCATTTGCAACCTTTTTAGTGTTTTGCTTTATCTAAGTTTTTAGAGTATAAGCAACCATCACAGATTCTGATTTTATACTCAGACCCACCTATGGCTTGGGTTTTGGGAAACAAGGCAAATTCATAAATGAACTGCTTTAAGCCCATTGGCAAGAAAATGGGAAATATTCAGAGTCATAGACTTTGTTCATGGTAGAAAGAGCTTAACCTGATTTCTGTAAGCCTCAGTGTCAGCATTTGTAAAATAGGGATGATAAAGGGTAATTCATCATGAGTGTTGTCATTTTGTGTTCTTGAAACTAGCAATAAAATTCTCAATTGAGAATTAGACTTTGAAATTGACATAAGAAGCCATGCAGAGAAGGGGTGGATGACCCTTCAGAGAGCCTGAAAAGAGAGCAGATGGGGTCTGGCTGCAGGAGTTCCTATTTCTAGAGGGAGGAGCATTGGTTGGCTGTGGTCAGAGACAGACTGCGCAGGCACCACCCAAGGCAGAGGGAATCTTGACCCTGAGACCTGCAACATCTCAGTCCCTAAGAGGGGTGGAGAACTGAAGCTGCCTAACAAGGCCGGACAACTACCGTGAAATTCTCATCTGCTCTGCCAGCAGCAAGTGGTGGTCCCAAAGGATGACATGGGGGTCTTCTGTCCCCTCATATTCTCCCTTAGCACCCAAGCCAACAGACAAACAATGTTTTTGGATATTAACAAGACTATGTGCAGTCTTAGGTAAAGGGTGAATCAAGGTATGTTGAGAAAATGTTGTGTTATGATATGGAGCAAACGCTCTCGTGCACTGTGGAGACAGTGTGCTGAGCAGAGCAGCACTAAGAAGAGTGCTTTAGTCCCCACCTCCAAACAAACTGCTAGCCTGACTCCTGGCCACATAGAATCTTCTAGTTGCTGGTGCCGGAACTTCACATATATCATTTCATTTAATTCTTGCAACAACTCTTAATAGATGGGCATGAGGCCCCCATCTTTATAGATAGCAGACAGTAGTGATCCAGAGCTTTGATTCTAGGGCCCCTCAGATCTCAGTCAGTGTGTGTGTGTGTGTGTGTGTGTGTGTGTGTGTGTGTGTCCCTCACTAGGTCTCTTTATCTGTTGGGAAAAACACACATTTTAAAGAGTTGTGTGTTGAGGCACACATTAACACTTGGGGACATTGTATATCTTTGGCTTTCAAAAGGTAAGCTCGACCTCCTTAAAGCCCTCTGGCCACCAGGAGACTGGCCTTCCTTGGGCAACACCTTCAGTCCTGAAACTGAACTCTTGGGACTGGAGATGATTGGTGTGCCAGGCACACAGTGGATGCTTATGAGAGGTCGTTTTGCATACAGGGGGTCAGGGACTTACCCCAGGATGCTCTCCCGAGGAGTTTGTGGTCTGTCTCCACAGACTGCTATAGGTGACACTCTAGTCCAGGACACCTGCTATTCTCCAGATACCCGAAAGCTCCTCGTACGGCTCAGTGACACTTACAGCAGGTAAAAGGGTTTTGGCTTCATCTGCACTTTGGGGAGGGCTGAGCGCCCCAACTGATAGCTCTGGCTTGGTCTGCCTGTGCTGTGTCCAATCAAACCATGAACTTACACAGCCAGAGTTTTGTCCCTGGTTAGGAACGTATTCTACTTGCTCTTCCTTCCCATCCTGCTGAGCTATTGGGACAAGCTGCACCCTGGCCTGCTTTACACAGTCTGGGTAGTGGGTGGTCTGTGGAATGGGTTTGCCCTGATCCATTCTATTTATGAACCAGGTCATTTCTGGAGAACCTGAAAGTGAATACACAGAATCTCCCACAAGTGGAAAACACAGGGAAGGTGAAAGGACTTATTCTCACCCTTAAAGGAGAGGCTGATGGGCAGACCCAAGCATTTGACTTTTACTCCAGATATTTTGCACCATGGGTCGGTGTGGCTGAAGACCCTGTAACAGGTACTTTTTAACTTGAGTCCTGCAGAAGGGTAAGCATTGGATGAGAACGATAATGAAGAGTTAAGTGCCCTACACATGACCTTTTAGGTTTGCTTGGGTTTTGAGCTGCCTTTGTTTCCCTATTTGCCCTCCCACACCCCTTCACTAAAGTCTCATGTGAAAAACACAGACAGGTATAGCAGGATTAAATCTTAGTGTCAGGCAGCCTGGGTTTGCCTCCTGCCTAACTTCCTAACTGTTGACTTTGAACAGATAACTTAACTTTTTTAAGTTTCCATTCCCTCCTCTATAAAATACGGATAATGCCTTATAGGGTTTTAGAAACACAGTGCATGTTAAATGCTTAGCACAGTGTCTGGCACATGGTAAGTGTCTAATAGCTATTAGCTGTTTTAACAATAACAACAAACTGCAAAATTTTAACATTTGCAAAATTCAAGGGCTGTTGACCACTACATTCCCAAAGCCTCTTGTCCTTTTTCAGGGACCAGCCTGTACTATCATTGACATCTAGGTACGATTGGTTTTTGAAGGATAAACTAAAAAACTGCAGGTAGGAAATAGAAACAGGAATAGTGATTCTACCCACCCCACCCCCTCCTTTCCTGGACTTGCTCAAACTGGGTGTAATAGGTTTGGGAATGTGGGTATTCAAGATCTTCTACCAGCCAGAAGCAGAGGCTTGAAATCTAAGATGGGCAAGAATGTGGAGCCCCTGCTTTCGTCCTCTTTGAGAAGAGGGGGCTGAGAAGCAGAAAGGGGGCATGTTTATGGAGAAGGTAGTGGATGGGGTGACGGCCAGGGCAGGAGGAGGTGGGCAGAGACTTCAAGGCTCCAGTTCTGGTCACGTGGCAGGGGCCGGGATAGTTAGAACGCCTTGACTTAGTTTCTCTCTGAAGAAAAGAACATTTGCAACTCAAAGCTCAGCCAGCAAGCTCTTTTAAAGACTCAGGAAAATGACCAACAATATTTAAACAGTCCAATTCAACCCTCCCCCATGGAAAAGAGGTTCTGAGTGGATTTACATGCACAGCTACTTCACAAAAATTTTACTTGGCACAGAAGGGAAGTTTTTTCCCCCTGTAATAACGCTTTTCTAGAGTGGGAAGGCCTTTAGTCAGGTGGTCAACAACCTTCTCATTTTGCCAGGGACTGAGGGATTTCTCAGTATACAAGACCTTCCGTGCTAAAACCAGGACAGTCTCAGGCAAACTGTAATGGGTAGTTATAGTATACGGGCCTCTCATTACATTTAGTAAGTTTTATTGAAGGAAGGGCCTTTTCCAATCCATCCTTTCCTCTACCAAAGACTTTTCTGTCTTTATTATTTTACATTTTGTTTCTTCATTTTAAGACAATTTCTGATCTAAATCTAGGGCACAATCACATGAAAAAATACCTTACTAAAAGAAAGTGCTCTTGGCACCAAAAGCCCAGGAATGTTGGCTTGGGAGAAAATTTTGCCTTTGGTCAGTTTCCACCTTTCCCTGCATATGCATCCTAGAAGGAAGGAGATCTTTTCCCTTGAAAGTTATAGAAAGATTTATGGGAAGGCCTTGATTTTCCTCCCATGGGCTGACCATGAACTGGTAAAGAGGACAAGAATTAAACCCTGCAGTTTAATTTGCCTTCAGAAAGTGTAAACATAGTACTTAAATTCTTTGTCATCCTTTCTCTCTCCATCCGTAATTCCATACTCTGCTGTGGCCATGGCCAACATAATGACTAAGTCATCTAAGGTTTAGTACAACTACACAGTTGATTGTAATTGCTTATAAATTTATGACATATGTGCCCCAGTGTCTTCAGGATTGTATCAAAACTTGTCACTTCTTTTAAGGGTCTGCACATACTGTTCTCAGCAGCTACTGGTCTCAGCAACTGGGGAAGAAAAACATGCATGGTAAGACTGTCTTTTTCAACTTTTAATAAACTTACCTAACTTTTAGCTGGCTTTCCTTTTCATATATGCTATCCACTTGAAGATGTAATAAAATGTTACATATCATCTATGTGAAAAGAAAAAGCTTTAAAATCCCTTCACCCTGAACCCTCTACTTAAAACCTCCTCCACCCCAAACATCTCCCACTGTTGTCCCTCCCAACACATAGACACACTTCTAGTACAGTAAGTGCCCAATAAATGTTTGTTCAATAAAATTAGCTAGCTGTGTAACTTGGCCCAGAGAGGTTATTTATAATGTGACAAGTTGAGATTGCATGATCACCAAGGTTCCCTACTACCATCACTAGTGATGGTATTTAATCAAACAAATTGCCTTCAAACCAAGTTCCCTAGTGATCAATATATTGTTCAAGGGCAGAGAAAATAGATTGCAGCCAATGGAGGCTACATGGCCCCAATAATCAAAGTAAGAGTCTGACCCTAAAGGATGGTGGTCTTCTCTAGCTGGAGTGTTAGGCCTCCTTGACTCTGATCTGGGGATAGCAGGGTGGCTATTTGCTTCATGAAGCACTGCCAGAAAGGCACAGACTGTGCCTCTTGTTTGCCGTGTGTGTGTGCTTGCTCGATAACCACAATGAGTGAATAACTCTCTTTGTCCTATTCACACATGGGAAGGTGGGCCCTTCTTGGGAGGGCCAAGACCACCCCTCTTTATCTTCTTAGGTTTCTAGTCTGTGCTTCTGTCTTTTCACATGTTCTTGCTTACCCCTAGGCAGAGCCAGGGAGGAAACTGGGTAGGTGTGTCTGGGGCATCACAGGAAGTGATGGAGGGAGTGACTACAGGCGGGACGATGTGGATCTGTGTGCTTTGTGGATCAAACCGTGTCTGTGGACCCCAAGTCCTCAGGAAAACAGGGTGGGTTGGGCAATACCATGAAGAGTTGAAGGAATTTATTCTTTGAACTGACCTGGGAAGATTCTCGAGCTTGCAATAAGAGTCTCTCACTACATTGTTAATTAAAAAAGGTGAAAACCATCTGATTTTGTGACCCATTTTATGTTTTCTTTAGCTTTTCAGTGTTCCAGCCGAGGAGGAGAACTGGAGATTTCACTGAGCCCTGACGGCCGAGTTGACATTAGGGGAGGCGCTGCTATTGTTTTAGAGGGCACACTGACAGCCTAGAAAGGTTGTCTGTGATGCTGTTATCCTTAAATGACCAAGTATTTTCTGCATAAAAAGAAACAGAAGGGACTGCTGTTAGCAAACTTGCATAGTAGTCCACTTAATCCTCATGTTAGCAATAGAAAAATAAAGACATATTAATGGAAATTTAATAATGCTTCCTGACTAATTAACAAATGGAGTTATGGCCCTACATGCGAGTATATCTAAAGTGTAAGTAATCACTTACAAAGAATAATATTGTCACCTTTGATTAAGACTACCAGTCACAGAATTAGGAACAAATTTATGAGGAGTAAGATCAAATCACTTAAACTTAGGTGTGAGTATCTGATAGAATATTTTGTAGTTATTAAAAAGATCTGAAAACTATGTTGAAAATGTTTCATGATATAATGCTAAGAAAGAAAATAGTAGACTATAAAGGGTTAGCAATGTTATGCTGTGTCTATGGAGAATGTGAATTTATATGGAACAGGATGTGTCATGAAGTCAGAAAAATTCATGTGTGGGGTAGTAAGATTGGGAATAATAATTTTAATGTACCTAAAAATTATTTCTTTTAATGGGACATACTCATACTCAATAACTAAAAATCAGGGCATATAACCAAATAACTAAAACACCCAGAAATTCAGGCTGATTTTACATTTTGCCATCTCAGCACATGGCCTCCATGTTTGCTGCAGCAGGAAATCTACTATGTTTTGGCTCAGAAGCAACCAGTGTCAGTTCTGCTCACAGCCTATTGACCAGAACTGGTCATATACCCCCATCTAATAACAAAGGAACTGAGAAATGTGGGGGAGCTCATGGATATATTGTGTACAGTAAATATAGTACCACACCTGGGGAAGATCTTTAGGCCATTCCGTTCTCCCTAGGGTGGCATTACTTGAGCAAACTCATTATAG